CTGACGCATTCGAACATTCTACCGGCTCGGTCGTCGCCCGGGTTACCAAGGGCCGCGCAGACTGTTGGGGAACTGAGGCAGACTGCGAGAAGTCAGCGGTCAGAACCTCCTCATTGCCCCCTGCTAGCCGGGGGTGTAGCAGCACAACGACGGCTGACGAAAAACGACGGAACGACGACGAAGATACTAGTCAGCAATGGAGTCGCTACATGTTCTGAGCGCGATGCATCTTGGCACGTTTGAAAAGGACCACGAAAACCACATCGCCAGTGGCAGCGTACAGCTAGAAATTGGAACCTATTCCCACTCAGAGGGAAAGAACAAGAGCTAGTTGATGAGACTATCAAACACCAACTAGACATTATTGGATTCTCGTCAACGCAGCGGCAAGGCTCTGGAATCTTGAACCACTGCGGGTGGAAACCATTCCACGCAGGTGTCAATATCACGACGTGCCATCAGGCCGCTGCTAGTGTTCTGATAGAACCCAACTTCGTGGATAGAATTTTTATTGGAAGCCTGCCAGCGGAAGGATGGTGAAACCAAAGCGTTGACCTTGGTACAAGTCTATGCGTCTAATTGGGAAGGAGAATATGCGACCTTCCTTGAGGAAGCGGAGTGTGCTCTGTCCGAAGTGCCGAATACAGAGTCTGTCATGCTCATGGGCAGTCATCCGCATGTCAAAACAAACGCTGAAAGTGGCACGGCGTGATTGGAAAAAACGTCCCCATCGAAATCAGCAATAACGGCATGAAGTTGTTGCGGTTTTGTGCAAACAACGAACTGTCTATTATTAACACCTTATTCGAGCATCAAAGAGTGCATCAGTGCACATGGTACGGGGAAGCCTGTCCACAGAAGTCGATGATCGATTTGATAATCGTATCGTCTGACCTAAGACGCTCAGTAATGGATATTCGTGTCAAAAGAGGCGCAGAGCTATCAGCCGATCATCACCATGTTGTTGGCACGCCTGCGCTGTAAGAAATGGAGTATCATAAGAAGATCTGGTGGCAGAAGCAACCAGAGAATCAAATGGGCAGCATCATCTTCGGATGATGCGAGAGCAAAATTTACAGACAACATCGCACGACGGTTAGAGCAAATCCCAGTGATGAAAACAGATGTGGAAACCGAGTGGCAGCTCTTTAAGAGCGGCATACCTTAAGTTGCTGCTGAATGCTGCAGATTTAAACGGGTTGGCCTGCTGCCTGGAGGTCAGAAAACATCTTCATGGTGGACACGAGATGTACAACTGGCAGTTAAAGAGAAAAAAGCAGCGTTCAAGAAATGGCTTGGAAAGAAAAAGCCTTCTACTAGCGTACGATATGTCGAGGCGTGCAAGGCGGCTGCGAAAGCAGTGGTAAAATCCAAAGCTGATTCCAGGGAGATTAGCCTGATGTAAATATATTGAAGGTGATTGTTCCAGACTCAGTTGCTTTCTGCCGAAACTGAGACTTTGGCACAGGATCGGGAACGTTGGAAGCTCTGTCTGACATGTCTGCCTCATCTACCCGAAAGGAGAAGCGGCGATGGAAGATGATGATGAGGGTTCCATTTCTTATGGGGTAGTCCCTCCTAGTTGCAGCGGTGAACGTCATATTGTCTTAACGCCGTATTTGTTCATACGTCGTTGTGTACTTTCGTTCTGCTTCCCTTGATAGAATAATACCTAATAGCAGGATAATATTAAAGTCGTCCCAGGATAGTTAGGTTATGACTGATTCCGTTCAGTCATCGGTCTATCTTTCGGAACTGCTAGATGATGAAACGTTGCGATAGTTCTTTTCTTTTAACCAGTTGAGTAAGTTTTTGTTCTGTGCTTGTAACGTTGTGGGATTTGAACGCATCTAGAAGATCTTTGTGCATCGAGTCCGTCCAAGTTCAGCTCTCACAGATAACAGTGCATGGAATCTACGATAGCGTTGTACCCAATATGTGAATTTTGGTAAAGTAAATGTCTTTGCCGTTTTTTCTTGGAAGCCAACTTTTAAAATATAATCTGCTGCTTGAGTGTAGAACTGTAAATTCGATTATCGATGTTTGCTTTTTAATTTTTGATTTTACCTGCCTACTAAATTGTGGGCGTGTCTGCAGATGCAAGTTGCCATTGACAGTTTTTCCATAATTGAATTTACTCAAAGCTTGTAACTTTGAATAAAATAATGCTATTTTATTTTAAAATCGATTGGTAGATTATACTATCAAACTCTTTAATCCACTTCTTCCATCTTGCGCTCTACTATGAGGGTGATTAATGCATAATATCGTCGATTTTCTGCTGACGTCTGTTAAAGGTCATTCAGGTGAATAATTCTAACTTTAGAGTGTTGTAACCCGAGTACTGTAATTTTCTCGCATTGTGTCAGCCGAGTAATCGGTCTTCAGCGCAGAAAGAAACAAGAGATTATAAGTTAATAATCAAGTGTACGCACATTCTGTAAATTAAAATGTTGTAAACTTTAAAATTTTATTTAGAAAGCTTCCATATTTTTACAAAGATTGATTTACTCAAATTTAAGGTTTTCCGTCGTTTGAATTTCAAAATCTATTTCGCAATATTGTTATAAGGATTCTGCAGAAATTTACTGTAGACTCAAAATGCAGGTTCGTACTATCATAGTTGATTTGTAAGCTTTGTGTTTGCTTCGTGTTCGATCGGTGTATAATTCTGTTGTAGGCAATGGTATGTGTTCTCTTTGTGAATATAGAAGCATCTGTTAAGTACGTTTAGGGTCCGAGAAAAATTCTAAAGGGAAAGCGTAAGATCGCACCGCCACCCAGTTCTGTTCTTTCTAAAACCGAATCGAAAAAAGTTCAGAATCCCCTGTTCGAAAGACGTCCGCGTAACTTTGGCGTCGGTGAGGAATTTGAGGTCTTATTTCTACGTCGTTTACCGTTGTTACGTGTTTAGGACAGGACATACAGCCGAAACGTGATCTACGCCGCTTCGTTCGGTGGCCAAAGTATGTGCGAATTCAGAGACAGCGATCCGTTTTGTATCAGCGTTTAAAGGTGCCTCCGCCAATTCATCAGTTTAGTTTCACGCTAGACAAACCCAATGGTAATATTTCATTTTGTTAATTGCGATTGGCAATCTGTATGACTGGAGAAATGGCGCTGCGTTGGTTTGAATGAAAAGGTTATGATGCTATTGTCATGACATTGAACCTTGTCAAGCTTGCCTTTATATATTATTTGTAACGTGGTGTGAATGCTATTTGTCGCGAGATGTCGTTTATTTCTGAACGTAAAGCATAATCATCGTAGTAATAATAGAATTTCTGTTTACTTGTGTTAAATTGTTACAAGGTTAAAAACTACTTTTTCGTGACAGCCATCCGTCTTTTTCGTCGACTAAGATTTTGGGACAGCACAAAACTGGCATGTGCTCTGTGACAGTTTCTTGCAGTAAGAAATATGACCGGTGTCGAAAAAACAGGTGGCATAATATAAGCGTTGTGATTTGTGAGTGGCTTAGTTAATTGCAGTTTATTCTGCACTGAAGCATGAAATTTTCTGGGTCGGTCATGAAGTTACGAAAAAAACAGGAAAAATGGAGGGCCAATCAAATTTGCAACTGCTCGATAAATCGCACATCATAGACTTTTACCTAACTGACTTTTTATCTTTTTTGCGTTTTCAAGAGGGGATCGCAGCCAGGAATACGGCCCAGTGTATTGCAGCAGGGGCCTGGGGCGAAATATCTGTTAGATCATGAAG